GTGGTACAACGGCTGGAGGAGCTTGGCTGTCCGGAAATTACTCTTTGGCGGAGTTATTTTTCGGACAGAAAGGTCTCTCTTGTCGGCATGAATGGAAGTGTGGAGATTGGAGTGGTTCGTGGCTGCCCGCAGGGTTCCATCTACGGTCCATATATTTGGGTCCTTATGATGGACACTCTGTTTGGGCAGCTCGAGCCACTCTGTAAGTGTTGTGCGTATGCGGACGACCTTCTTCTTATAGTCGAAAGTCGCTCGCGGTCTGAGTTAGAACGGGCGGGAGGACAATTTCTAGAAATTGTAAATTCTTGGGGTTTAGGTGTGGGGGTTGACATATCGATGGATAAAACGGTGGCAATGCTATTGAAATGTAAATTGTCGCCGGTTCGTCCACCGATTGTCCGTGTGAATGGGGCCAGCGTCAGTTATGTGACGCAAGTCAAATATCTGGGGTTGACCATGAGTGAAAGGATGTGTTTTACTCCACACTTGGCGTATGTGAAGGAGCGACTACAGGCAATCGTAGGTAAAATACGCCGCATTTTGAGGAGCGATTGGGGTCTCGGACGTCGTGCTGTCCCCACCATATATCGCGGCTTGTTTGTGGCCTGTGCCACATATGGAGCCCCTGTATGGTGGGAGGCAGCCTCGACTGTTTGGGGGTCTCAAAAACTCCTCTCAATCCAGCGTTGTATGATGCTTGCTTGTTTGCCTGTATGTCGCACCGTCTCAACGGATGCGATGCAGGTTTTACTCGGTGCACCCCTCTTGACCTGATTGTCATACAGCGTGCTGTTGCWTTCAGGTTAAGAAGGGGTTTGAGTGTGTCAATGCTGCGGAAYGATTGGATTTCCGACGATGATGTGGAGAGGGAGGGATATCTAGGGAGCAAGAGGGTATGGGCCTCTGAATGCATTTTTTCAGAGGCACCTATCAGATACGTCGGGGCGGGGCGGGGTTGGAAAATTGGTCGCATTGGCGAAGGCGGTTAGTTGGAAATTAGGGCTAGATTTGTATGATTGGTGTGTGTATGTGATGTATGCATGGGGTCCAACCCCTTGCCACCAATCCAGAGCAGTAGGGAAGCTCAACTGGTAGTAGTTTCGGCTACGAGGTCTGACCGGAGACTTAATTCTGGTACCACGGGGAGCAGGAGCCCTTGGAGGTAACTCCAACCTGCTCATGCGGACTGGCCCCTCGGGGAGTATCGTGGTGGTTGTGGTTAAAACCCAAATGCGGGAAGAACAGACTTTGTCAGTTGAATGTGGAGTTGCATTGCAACCGGGTGCCGGACCCAAAGCACGGCAGAGGTTTTAGATGGGCCTCGAACTCGACCAAGGTGGCTAGTGTGTCCATTCCACACTGCCAATTGGTACTGAAAATTCTTGGCATTCTCAGCGTGCTGATCAACGCTTTGATTTGATCCGCTGTACTTTTGAGTGCCGTGGAGTAAGGCTGTCGTCAGCAGGTACCCACGTTAAACACACCGGACGTTGTCCACAGTGATGTGAGATCCCAGTCGCGAGTGAGACTGCTGTTTGTTTGATGACAAGAGATATTGTGTCAAGTCCTTGTTCACTACTAGACCCATTTGCTTCGCTTCCCTATTCTTTCTGGAGAAAGCAGAACTAACAACTTCAATAGCTGCGCCATTGAAGCAATTGATATCAATATCATCGGCGTATGGAAGCAACTTTACACTTTCATAGAAAACGGTACCCCTTTTGAATTCTGCAGCTCGAATTATTTTCTGCAAGAGTAGGTTGAATAAGTTAAATGAAAGAGAGTCGCCTTGTCTGAAACTTTGTTTGGAATCGAACGGCTCGGAGAGGTCCTTCATGATCCTGACGGAGTTGTGTTTAAAATCGAAATACATAAATTAAAACATTTCAATAAAATTTAGTACAAATAGTCAATATAATGAGTGCCACCTCTAAATTCAAAAGGTCAACATCTTGACGTCAGAATTATTTAGCACACCATTTGAATGGAATCAGACATTATTTACTTATAACGATTATACCAACTATGATTGTATGCGTTTATATTATATATAATTGCTGAAAAATTAGTTGATTGAGTGTATATAACATTAAAAATATTCGGAAATTTGATTTCTAGCAGGCTTTGCAAAAGTCCCGTTATCATTAGAGTTCTGAGCTGTAAACAGCAATTTATATTCAGTCTGAATACAAATTTTGAAGTATATTTCATCTTGTCTTTGTTTGTGAAAAATACGTGAAGTTTTGTAAAGTATGGGAAGAACAACACCTTAAAAGTTTTACCACCCGAATATCGGATGCCCCCTTATAACTTTTCCATTCAAGCTTGCTCAATGTGTGACAGTTTAATGAAATGAAGTGGCGTGTACCTTGGTCCAAGCCTTATATCCCTGATGTAAATAATTCCGAGCTCCTGGTTAACGGTATAAAACTTATGGTATTAAGTCTAAAATATCCAAAAATTTTCGAAATCGAGAAATAACTTCTCAATTTTAACGAAATTAAGAAATAATGTATTTCTAATAACAGTACCTTCTTGCCTATGATTGCAACTAATTAATGTAATATTTGTTTCATTTCATTTCATACAATACAGTAATTATACTTGTATAACATATTTTAATTATAATACGACTTTGAAGGAATTGCAGTCATTATATTTCTTAAAATTTTTTATAAACACTTTTGCACTGTATTTATTAAGTTCCGTTTATTAATAAAATGGTAAAATGAAACTTTCAGTTATGGAACTATGTTACTCATACTCTTAACTTACTCATAATTTTAGAATATTACAATCAAAACATTTAGAAAAATCGCAAAATATTCATCATATATTATTTCTTGATTTAAGAGAAGATTTTTAAATAAAATGAAATAGTAAAAATGCATCTGGAATGATCTCACATTTGGTTCAATTTCACATCAACGTAAAAATATACTTTTTATGCGAAGTCATTTAATTCTCACTAATATACAATTAGTACATTCTAACAAATTTCTTTAATGTGTTTCAGCGGGACCTAAAATAAAAAAAGTAAATGACGTAACCTGTTTTGCTGAAGAAACAATTAGAATAGAAGTGGAAGTTGATGGCTTTCCCAAACCACTTATTAATATAACAAATAATGGCAAGGATATTTCGCAGGAAAAGAACGTAACAATTTCAAGTAATTCTATAGGAAAAAGCACAGAAACATATATATTAGAAATTTCTAATATAAAGTTAAGTCAAAGCGGTAACTATTCCATAAGAGCTACGAATGATTTGAACCAATCTTCTGAATTCTGGAACTGTATAGTTAACTCCAAACCTATAATCGTAAAACATTTAGAGGAGGTATATGTATATGGTGAAAAGGAGACAGTCATTATGAGTGTTAAAATTGACGCGTTCCCAGCAGCCAAAGTACGATGGTATCAAGATGGGAATGAAATTGATGTTTCTAATAACAAAAAATACATTACTGTCGCCGACGGTAATGAATATACGCTGAAAATAAAGGAAGTGTCTCGCGTTGATTGTGCAATATATAAAGTAAAAGCTGAGAATGATTATGGTTCAGCATCAAGCGAGACGAAATTGCTAATAAAATGTGCCCCTGAACTTACAAAGAAATTGTCAAATATTACTATAACTGAAGGTGATTGTAACGTAGAACTAGAAGTAAAACTCAACGCCTACCCTGAGCCCAAAATCAAATGGTATATAGATGGTATCGAGATCGATGAAAAAAGAAAAGATTTTCGTCGCATTGAGGAGAATAACTCATATAAATTAGTACTTAAAGAAGTCAATACATCAATGCATGGCACATATTGCTGTAAAATCATGAACGATTATGGAAATCTTGAAAACGAATGTATTGTGACAGTAAACTGTAATATACTTGAACTCAAAAACGTAACTTGAAACTAATTTTTATTATTTATAGGCAAGCCGAAAATTAGAAAACAATTAAAAGATACAGAAGTACAAGCAAATGGTACTCTAACGCTGGAAACTGATATATATGCAATGCCTGAGCCAACTGTACAATGGTAAGTCTATAGTAATATGTTAATAACTGCAGTAATATTCTACTTTAGATCATTCTATAAAATATAGATGAGATGCAATATCAAAGCTTATCTGCAATTTCCTCAGCCCTATGACCAAGTTATTTATTTACGTAACTGTTCTTATAACGTATTCGTATGTACGTAGTTCACTACCGACTTCTGCTACTGTCAGAAAAAGTCAATCGATAGAGGTCTCGTAAACAAAATTTTATGCAGACATAACTATTCTTTCCACATATTCTGTTTTCAAGTTTACAATGTAAACAGCGAGGACAAATTCGCAAAACAAATTGCCGTTATTTTTTATTATAATTTGTAATCAGTGTCTCAGATAATGTTTGCTAAGCATATTATTAATGGTTGTTTCCAAACGCGTACAGTTGAAAATGGGCTGAGAAGTGATTGTCCTCAGGTGGTTTGAACTAATTCAGCCATAAAAACTGTTTCTGAAAACAGAAAAATATGTTAAAGGAAGTGGACATATCAAACATCTCAATGTTAAAACTTATTTGAATAATTTCAACCTGTATTATATTGTTACTGTTAAGCAATAGTAGTGGTTACATAGATGGAGTTGAATGATCAAAAAACGAATGTCTTTTATACTGCATTTACGCAACCAGAAAACAAAACTGCAACATCCGCTATTAAGATGTCCATTGTGCTTCTTGCAATGGGAAACGTGAAATTTGTGTTTCCTCATAGTTCATGCAATTTGAATACAATGGTAAAATATCTAATTTATTTTGCTTCACACAAGCTTTACCGATCCATCCGTTATACACGACATTCCCATAAATTTGTAAAACGTTAATATAAAATCACATTATTGTCAATCATTGAAATTATGGTGGATATTATACCGGTCGGTGGCCTCTTTCGCACCGGTTCAAATATTTCATTCGGCATCGAGACGTTTGTCCAATGCATTCCCAGAAACTATTTCATCTGCCTCTATTAGGTTTGAAACACTACTTGGAAGAAGCACACAGGGTGCTTATCTTATCTGACCATTATGTAGCTAGTAATTGTCATCCAACCCTTAGGCTTGGCTTACTTCTGTTCGCTACGTGGCGCCAATTGACAATGCCAAGCGAAGCCAGCTCCTTCTCCACCTGGTCCTTCCAATGGAGTGGCGGTCTCCCTCTTCCTCTGCTTACCCCCACGGGTACTGCGTCGAATACTTTCAGAGTTGGAGTGTTTTCGTCCATTCGACAACATGACCTATCTCATACAGCTCATCGTTCCATTGAATGCGATATTCGCCGTGGCCAAAACTCGTAACGTCGACTCATCACTTGTTGTCATCGTCCATGCCTCTGCACCATATAGCAGGACGGGAATTATGAGTGACTTATATACTTTGGTTTTGTTCGTGGAGAGAGGACTTTACTTCTCAATTCAGTCCGAAGTAGCACCTGTTGGCAAGAGTTATATTGATATCATCGGCATACGCCAACAGCTGTACACTCTATAAAATATTGTACCTGCTCCATTAAGTTCTGCAGCTCGAATTATTTTCTCCAGCAGTAGAATAAAGACATCGCATAATAGGGAGTCGTCTTGTTTGAAACCTCGTTTGGTATCGAACGGCTCGGATAGGTCCTTCCTGATCCTGACGGAGTTTCTGGCGTTGCTCAACGTTAGTTTACAGTATCTCTTCCAGAGGCACACACGAATCATGGCGCTTCAGAACACAATTCACATTATGCTTAATTTCAAGCATTGGAAATTATACTCAGTCTTTTTTACTTGCTTGTAACATTACATACACGAAGCAGTCTAAACGTACGGATTATGTTAAACATCTTATAATAATGCAGAAAAAACCTCCGCCAGCTCTTGACCGATGCTACGGCTGCTACTATGCCGGTCGATTTTCGACGACAGGCCTTCCGGAGCGTGGCGCATCTTCGACCACCTCTACACCAGAACGAAAACGTTGAAACCATCGTTGTGCGGTGGAAATGGAAA